CTCACTCTAAAATAAAAAAAATTATTAATGCAGAGGAAAATGCCTTTTTGTATTTAATAATAAAAAAATCTGGCAAAAAAAAACGAAAACAAATTTTAGTATCCAGCAAAAAACAAAACATGGTACAAGAAAGTTTCCTCAGACAGCGCCGTTTGTTCAGTCGGGAAACGAAATGACACGCTTGAGAGGAAAATAATAATTGATAAGGAGGCAAACACGCGAGAGACAAATGATGGAACGAGCCGATGCTCAAATATTTGCGGCCGAAATGAGCGAACAAAAGTCGAATCTGCCATTGTTATCGCTGGAAACAAAGCGCCCGTTTTGATATTAAAAAGTCATCTTTCCAGCTGCAGCCCGCGGGCGCGAGGGCGAGCAGCAACTTCCATCAGACTGCGCGCCCTCAGGGCCAACATCCCCTTGCTCTCACCCCTTCGCCGAACAAGATGTTGTTTTACTCTGGGCTGTGCAGACCTTTGTTCTTCGCAGAGCCAAAGTTTTTGCACGACAAGAGAGAGAAAGCTCCGTCGATAGGCCTGGCAAAAAGTACCGCTTGCGTTGTATCAGATTGGAGCTGACTTATTACTACACGATGTAAAACAAGCCGTCCATTGTGCTTGGCAAAGGGTTGCTTCGCCTCAGGGCGGTGCGTGCGCGGTATCAGGGTACGCTTGCCAGTTTCCAAAAGAAGTTATACATTGTGTTTTCAGAATGTTGTGTGAAAAAATATTGTAAAAAATCAAAGAAATCAAAAGATCTCAAGATTAATTAAAATATATATTGCATCATGCATTTATTATTGTTGCTGTTTTTATGTCCACATTGTTACGCATACATTGTTCATATTCAATTGTTGAAAAAAAATTGGTCAAATAAACAATGAAAACAACAAAATTGCACTATTTTATAAACACATTATTCATATATTATTTATTTTTAAGAGAAATTGTCAATAAATTTTTTGTTATACCTAAACTTAAAAATAAAATATGATGGCATTTAGGGTTAAAATTTAAGAGTTAGTCTGATTATTGTAGTTTTCATTATTTTAATTTTTCAATTGTACTATTACAAAATAACATAAAAAAATGGATATTTGGCAAAGGAATTTAGGTCAGGGTTTTTCATTTCTAAGAAAAGAAACTCAGATTTTTAAAGCTCGTTTCGTGTTTGTTATTTACTAATTTACTTTCATAATCATTTTGAAAACCACAATTTTCGGGCTGCTTAGTTATAAGTATAATTTCTTCCTCCGTCTTCTCCCTTTCATTTGATATGTAACATATATATTTTAATCATTCATCTTCCGCCTTTGCGGTCGCGATTGAGTTTCATGCTGGTGGCGCATCTCTCACTCTCGGAGGCGAAAATTACGTACATAATCAAGACAAAAAGAGGTGGCATCAGCGGCGGCGGCGAAATTAATGACAAAACAACACACACGCCGAGCGAGCGAGCGAGAGCGAACAGAGATAACAATAACAACAATGCTTTTGAATAATTACGCTCGCTTGCGCGAGTATCAAAGAGAGCTCGCTGGAAGGAGAGCGAGTCTGCTGAAACAACACGCGGGGCGACAAAATCAACATGCACTTGAAACGCGGAAGGGCTGAAATTGCAACAGCCGCGACGACTCCGGCACAAGTACCCCCATCCGCCTCATCGTCTTCACGCCACCGCCTTCGCCACTGTTTCGATTCCTCAATATTATTAGCATACGGTAATTGAATCAAGGCGAAGATAGAGAGCAACTCTCGAGCAGCGGGCTTCTCTTTGAGTCACTCAAATCGAGGTTTGCTTCCGCTTGGAGCGAGTTCATTTTGGGATTCTAGTCTGGCAGTGAAAGATTATTTTTTGTTTTGTTAGTGTTTTAAACGAATATTTTTTTTTTATAAATAAGAAAAGCAGTTTTTAGTTGATAGTACAAAATTGATTTAAAAGATTGAATAACGAATAACAATACTTCTTATTTTCTGAACGCTTTTTTTAAATTTTGAAAAAGCAGAGGGCATCCTAAGCTTGCGATATAAATTTTTTGAATTAGATTAAAAACGCACAAAATATTAGGGAGGACTTGTGAATTGTTTCAATTATTAATCTTTACACTGGAATTCCTACCTGAAATGTTGTCTTTTATTGTGTTTGCTAAGCGGATTTCAATTTGTGTAAAGACTGCACCCCGCGCCTAATCCAATAGTAAAGAGAGCCATCCATGGGATCTTCGATCTTCACTAAAATTCCACAGAAATGGGGAAGAAGAAAATAATGCGATTTCCTACGAAGCCAATTCAAAGCATAAAAAATTGAGCCCTTCCAGAATGGGCCGCGAGCGATTGGCCGCATGTCGATTTTAACTGCTTGACCATTTTAAATCCCTGCTGGCGCAGCAACCTGAGGAAGAACGTTCATTCCCTTGTTGGCTGCCAAGTGAGAAAGACTGCATTTTATTTTATTGACAGTGTAAGAGTCAAGCAGAGGGAAGAGGGACTATTTTCTTGTGGGAGCTTTGAATGGGATTTTTTTTGCAAATACACTTCTGAACTGACAGCGGCGATTTTTCCGAGTGCCAATTAAATCAAACTTGCTGCCGCTGCAAATTTTGGCACCTCTTCTGTCCACTTATATCGTGATAAGGTAATTACACATCTTACATTTTATAATCTAAATTATAAACTTTCATTTGTCTTTGATTAAATTTAATTTTAAATTAATGAATTTTAAGTTGACTGTTTTACTAGGGTCAATATTTTTTTTAGGCGTTTTATTTTGATAACCGTGTAAATATTTTTTTGTATTTTTTTCATATCCAACGCAAAATAAAAATTATTATTTTAATACTGACGTTTCTAATTTTGAAATTTAACATAAAAATTCATGATTCATTCATATTGTATACTTTTTTAAATTATTAGATTTCTTGAGATCTTCATATCAACTGATAGAAAGTTGTTAGCGTTGTAAACGGAAAAAAATGTGCTTTTTCATTCTCCTCAATTAATTATAATCAAATTTATTTTTGCTCTTGCAGAATGTGGGCTGACTCACTCGACTGCTCGAATTCCTCAGACCCCGACTCGGACGAACCTGAACCCGACTATGAACTAGAAGCAGCTTTCCGCCTTCTCCGCTTTGGTCGGTCCGGCTGGGGCTTTCAAAAACCATGGGCCACTCCAGAGCAACGAGAGGAAGCAATCGAGAGGATGGCCAGCGGAAAAGAGACCAGGGAGAAGATTTCGGCCGACCTGGGCTTCAGCACCAACACTTTGAGCCGGTGGTGGAAGCAGCACAATCGAGACCTTGAGGCGCCGAAGACCAAGCAGTGCCGGAAGGCCCTAGTGAAGACGACCCCTGAGCAGGACAGAGCCCTGATGGAGGTGGTGAACGACCACCCTGGCATGACGCTGAGGGCGGCCATGAATTTGGCCGAATTTCCTGCCAGCAAGGCCACAGCCATGAAGAGGCTGAGGGACGCGGCGAAGGCTGATAATGATGACGACGGAGAGGCTTCGAAGCGCCCACGCGTGAAGACCATCAAGGACTACTTCATTCATGGAAAATAATATCAGTAACTTCTTGAAATTTGTCTTGCGAAAATAAAGTAGTAAAATTAATTGATAAATTTATTTGCTATTCATATATATCAGACGCCCCCGAAAAGAAATCGTGTATTTACGTACGTCAAAAAGCCTCTTGTTTGATAAAAAAAAAGAGAGAAATGAAATTTTTATGCTTTAATTTTAACGTTACAAGTCCAAAATTAGAAAAATGAATTATACGGAATGAATTATTAATAAAAAAATAAAAATATACTCAATAAATTAATGTTGGTAATATAATTATATTTATGACATATTGTCATGTGTCTCAATAAATAAAAGAAATTAGTTTACTGTAATTTTTGGTAAAATAGAAATTAACCAAAGTCGTTAAATCCTCATGTACGTATGTTAACAATAAGCCATAATCCAGCATAATCCCAAAACTAACTAGCTTGATTTTTAATTTCTGATTAATTTACAGTAAAATTAAGCTATTATTCAATTAAATTTGCCAGAGAGTTTGCCTTATACTGTTAACATACGCACATACATGAGGATTTAATGACTTTGAATAATTTCTATTTAACCAAAAATTACGGTAAAAATTAATTTCTTTTGTTTATTGGATATACAATGTAATTTTTTATTTTCTCGGATTCGCTATAATTGACCAATGCATACTTGAACAACTTTATTTTTAATGATCGTGGAAATTTTTTACCAATATTTGACACAAATTATGAAACTAAAATTTTCCTCAAGATTAATTTTTTTCATGAACCAATATAGGAACTATTTTTTATAAAAATATTTTCCTTTGGAAAAAATTATTATAATTATATTTATTAGATTCCAGAAATAAAAACGCCCAGTTTACTAATTTATTTTATAAATTTAAATTAATTTGCTAAATATGTGCAACTTGCACATTGAAAAAAAAATTCGGATTAATTCTTTAAAAGTACGTCAAATTAAGATTGGATAGTTTGATATAGGCTTGAAAACTTCCTGCTGCTTGTGTTTGAATTGCCCAGATTGCCCTGTGGCTATCTCTCCCCCAATTCCACGAAATATCAAATATCCTCAGTGAAAAAGCTTTTGCTTATAAAATGAATTTATGCTGCGACCGCATGTGGATTGAACGATAAACATAATAAAATTTGATCAATTATAAGTGTGTGAAGAACTCAATTAAAATTCCTAATTCCGCAGAACTGCTGTGAACGTGAACAAATAAAAAAATTTAATCGTCATTTCCTTAGCGCGACTCAATCTGACAATAAAAGCGGAAAACTCCTGCAGAGAGCAGTGAATGGTAGTTCAATGGTCACCTTGTAACGTCCTTGACGAGATCTGGAATGTGGAAAGAAATAAGATGTATTATTTGATTTCCCATTATTTCCCTTCTGTCGCACACCCTGGTGGAGGAGAAAGACAAGCAGCAACCTGTCGTCACGTGACCAGATTCCGTCATTGGTAGCGTCGCTTCAATTTTGTGTCGACTGGTGAGTGAGAAAGACGTCATTTTCTGCTCTCGTTTCTGGAAAGATCTGAACAAGACTCATCCATTTCTCCCTTTCTGCGATCGAATCGAGAAGCTTTGAGGCTGAATTGCAAGGTAAAAAACATTCTAGTTTAAGTTTTCTTGGTAATTTTGTCGTTTATTTCATTTTTAAATTCAATCTTGGGGTTGAAAGGGGCCCATAATTCTTGAACGCTTTCGTCGCTCGACGCCATGTGCATCTCTTTATGGAAAATGTACTAAAAAATTATTTGATCGACTTCGACACACGCGCCATGCCGATGCGTTTACATTCGCAATTTTACTGCTCATTTTGAACTCTGATCGCTCTTAATCTTAATCTATTAATTGGGATGCTGCATAGGAATAATTTTGAAATTTAACCCAACAAATGTGATTGGAATATTACACATTTGGCTGCCCGTTCTCTCCAGATAATTTATTTTCTTATTGATATTATATACAATTTAATGAATTGAACGTTGTTCCAATTTAATAATGCTCGACTTCTTTTTTAGGACTTTTGGCAGAAGAAAATCATCACACCAGCAATATGTGCTTTGACTGCCTCAATAACTCTTCAGACAACTACGACTCCGATTCGTCGGATGATTCACCTGGAAACCTCGCAGGAATGGACCTGTTTCAGTTCCTTCGCTTTGGCCAGTTCGGAGGCTCAGGAAGACGTTGGGGCCCCTACAACTTTCAAAAGCAATGGGCCACCTCTGAGCAGAGAGCTGAAGCCATCGAGAGGATTGCCAGTGGCAAGGAGACCAGGGCCAAGATTGCGGCCGACTTGGGCTTCAGCACCAGCTCTTTGGCCCGATGGTGGAAGCAGCACCAGCGAGCCCAGGGCATCGAGGTTGCTCCCCGCAAGCCCAAGACCAAGATGGGTGGATTGGGACATCCTGCCCTAACTGCCCCTGTGAAGACAGTCCTTGGGGTCCCTGGGCCTAGCAAGGTGCTGGGGGATGTGACAAACAAACGCCCTCCTGCCACCACTGGGCTGAGCTCGGTCAGGAGTGTGGCCAAGTTTCCCAACAGCATGCAGGCCATGAAGAGGCTGAGGGATGGAGAGGACGAGGTTGATGAGTCTTCCAAGCGCCCACGTTTGGAGACGGTTGAAAACCACAAGGACAGTGATGGAAAATCTACCCTGTAAATTCTTGAAGTGTGAATTGAAAATTAAAAAGACAAAAAAATCAATTATTTACCTTTTTTATTTATAAATAAGATACAATATGAATAAATGAATTGTTAATTAAATTTAAAATTAAAAGAAAAGATTTCGAAGACAGAAAGAAAGAGGATCGGATCTAAAGATTTACGTTCTTGTCACACTCAATCTTTAATCATTACAAGGTTGCAATAAATGAAGCAATATCCGTGCAGTTCTAATTATTGAAATTAATCCGTATTATGCACGAGTAATTTTTAATACATACAAATATTAAAGCTAAAAAATTGAAAATTTTATGCATCTAATTTAAAAATTTTAATTAGCAAAATTCAAATATATAATTAAATGAAAATGAAGCATTCAATTTTATACTTCAAATAAATATCAAAGCAGTTAATTGCCATACGGATGAATTAATTTATTTTTTGCATTAAAAATCTGGATTTCTGGAATAAATTGCCTTCTCCATGTTGGCATGTTTCACCCTGGCGGACGAAAGAAGAACATCAGCCTGTCACGTGACAATTCCGTCATTTCCTCCATTGGCTCTGTTCGAGTCTGTTCTGTGTTGTTGACTCTCGTTGACTGCAAGTAAATTCTCGTCTCTACTCGCCATTTTTCTGTTCTCGAGCCGCTGTTTTCGAGTGAGGCGAGGGATTTCAAGTCAAGAATTTTGTCCGTTTCTGCTTAACACGGATCAAGAATCGTTTGACTGACGTGCTACGTTGCCAGTAATTCTCTCTCAACCCGGACGAGCGGACGGACGCTATTGACGCTAAGATCTACGACCTGGACGACAGAAGTTGAACGCACGTGTGGCCGCCGAATTCTGCTGGGCAATACCAACTGCAAGTTGCTCCTTTTTCTGTCCACTTCTATAAAACGAGGTATGTATGTATAAATTTTAAATCTAGACTTAAATTCGAGATTTATTGTTCCTTGATTTCTTTGCAAATAATTTTTGTCGATTTCACAAATTCTCACATGAATAAGATGTTTCATAATCCCTGATCACAATGTCGAATGCAATAATGCATAAAAATACATAAATATTTTGTCAATTTTGGTCCCCCTTTTCAAATTCTGGTCCTCCTCTGTCTTTCAATGCAATTTTGGCAATTTTTTTTGGATTTAGAACATGACTAGATTCGAAAAAAGTTAAAGACCATAATTGCAACTAAATCCCACATTAAAAGGTTTTTTAATCTGAGGAACAATTTTTGCAACATGATCTTTCTACGAATTTTGAAAAATAAATAAATTATGCCAATTATGCGAAACTCTATTTTTACACAACTTCTTTTTTTATATTATTCAAAATTATTTAATAAAAATAATCATGTTCCAAATTTTTATATTTTTTTTTATAATTTTCCAAACGTTTTCTTTTATTAACCACAGCTCTTCATTTTTCAGAAAATGGGCTGGTGGGGCTGGGGACGTCGCAACTGGGGCGGCTGGGGTGGTTGGAATCAGCGCACCGGCTCCAAGAAGCACAAGAGAGACACCATCAGGAGGATCAAGAACGGCGAAACCAGGAAGGCAATCGCCGACGATCTGAAGTTCACCCCAGCTACCATTTCTCGCTGGTGGAATGAGTATGTGGCTGAGCAAGAAGCCAAGGGCAAGGTGGTCACAATCAACAAGGCTGGCAAAGGCGGTAGTTCTGCTCCTGCCGAAGATGACACCCCTCCGAGGCGTCCCAGGGCCCCAAGGAAGAAATCAACTGGTACTCCGAAAAGTACCCCTCAGGTAGCAGAAGGACAAGGAAGTGCCAGGAAAAGTTCTGGAGACGTAGCTGCTGAGGTATGTGTGCCTCAAAAGCAGTTTTGTGCAGAAAAATTGGAGGACATTGTTGACATCCACAGTGACAATGAGGAGTTTGAAAAGGTCAATGTCAACTGATTAGGACAAAAAAAAAACACAAATTTCAAATTATTTGCAGTACTGAAAATATTTCTAACAAATATTGAATGAAAAAGCCAATTAAATAGCAATGCAAAATTTTAAATTTGATAATCAAAAGTACCATTCTGTGAAGAGAAAAGAATATAAAATATTTCTTTTATAAATTTGCACCATTACATTAATAAAATAAAAATTTCTGCAAAATTTGCTAGTAATGTAATTCCATTTGAATCAATTTTATTTGGCACCTATATCTTATATAAAATATGAAATGGTAATAAATCATAATAAAAATGTTTAAAAAAAATAAACAGAACGAAAACTTAATTAAACCTATTTTATTTATTTCCCAGTTGAAGGTGACTGTTAACCTACTTTCTCAATTTTTTTCAAATAAAACTGTGGGGAAAACAAGGAAAAGTATTACGCCTTGCCTTTTACGGGTGGTCTCCTGCGATTGTCACGTCCCACCACATGCAACTGCATTGGGAAACATTTCGCTTCCGCCGTGGGCTCCTTTGCATCTGCGAGAGCTCGTCTCGCTTGTAAATAAATAAATAATGCGGCATGCAGGAAACTTGTGCAATTTAATGAGATTATGTCGGTGCATGTTATGTGTGCGCTTTGCGACCGAGGCTTGCATTCTCTCTATTCTCAGAGGAAGCACAATTTCTGCTGCAACCGCGTCTGTCCTCACTCTCAGCGTGCAGCCATGGTTGATGAATTGCCCGTGATGAATTTCCGTCTCTTGCCATTGTCACAGTGTCCTCATTACTAATGTGTGGAGCGTTATTTGCACTCCTCATAATTGCATACAACCCTTGACAACTCTGCTTAAAAAGAAGTATAAATTATTTTTGCTATACTATTTTTAAAAACTACTTTTAACCAATTTTGGAATATTTATGCTTTTTATTTAAATCTTTAGTAATTATACTTAAAAGAGAGTTTTTATTTCATTTCATTAATCAAAAACTTTAATTTTTCATTTTTTCATTTTTTTTTGTAGATTTTTGTTGATAAAAACCTTTACCTTAGATTTTAATTGTCACAGTTAATTAAGCAACCCCTTGAATGCAATTTTGAACTCGGCGCTGTTTGCAGAGGCCCCGTCAACTTTTGAGAGTTTGTGTCGAAGAGATGGTCGGTGTTTGCTCCGGCCCTCAATGAAATATTCACCAAGCAAACATCACCTAGTTCATGCTGCCTGCAACTGCAATGCACCACTCACTGGGTCCAACTCTCTCGTCCTTCCACCCTTTTACCTCTGCCCAAGCCAAGGCGCATCTTGTATGCAAAATTAGTTAATATACTGCTAATGTAACGCACTTGTTAGGAATTCAGTTTGTTTTCATTGTTTGCTATATACATGGTAATTTGATTCTCATCTGCATAGTGCATGTAGATCTGATGTAGACAGAACCTTATTTGGTTACGCAAGTATCCCATATTAAATTTAATTGTGAAATTCTCTACCGAATAAATTAATAATAATTATTTGTAAGTGTTTAATAGGAAAAAATGTTTATTTAATTTACCTAATTTTTTTCATTTCTTTTAAAATTCTAATTAATTTTATTTAATTAAATTTTCCATCATCAAAAAATTATGTAAGCAATCCGGTGACGGTGAGGTCGGGGATCTCAAGTACAGTTGCTGCCAGTTCATTGACCTCGCAACAGTATGACAATCCCGCAGTCACATTTTGCGGGTCCCAGTTGAGCCACGTCAACTGGTCGCACACGTTTGTGCACTTGACAAAACCAGGAGGGTTGTCCAGATAAGGGTTGTTACTGCCCACAAACGCCACCCCTTCCTTGGTTAATGGATCGTACAAAACCTAAAAAATTTTCACAATGCAAAAAATGTTTAAAAAATAATAAAAAAATATCGCACCTTCCAATAAATTTCCGGCACATGCACGATGGGGTTGTTGTTTGCATCCAAGCCGAGATAAAGGGGCTGAAGGTTGTCGTTTATGTCAGGCAGGACCGCCTGGCCGTGGGTGCCGGTGTAGACCATCAAAGGGCCGTTCCTAAGGCCGCTGTAAATGCGCGCATCATATTCCAGTTGGGCCCAGTTTGCCTCATTGAAAGTCTGCCATTGCGGGGCGACATTCAAGTACCTTTTTTTCAATATTAATTGAGCGTATAAAAAATTAAAAATGATTATGATACCAAAAAGTGGCTCTTTGGTGAGCACCATAAACGTAGTCAGCCTTGGCGGCCAGGTGGCCTCTGGCCATGTAGAAGGAGCTGGAGAAACTTTGGTTCACATATTGCAGGGCCAAATCCATTGAACCGAGAATGTTGGCTAAAGTTGCAGTCTGGTTATCGCGTGTATAGGCTTGGTAGACATCGAAGCCGTTATAGAATGGACCCTCGAGGAAAAAGGAAGGTCGGGGGTAGCCAGACTGATAACCTCTAATTTCTGGAGTTTGCACAAAAACGGAGTACCTAAATTTAATAAAAGAGAATATGATTGATTTTTTTCTAAATTAAAAAGAAAAATACCTCGTGGAAGCCTTTTCAGGGTCAAAACAGGTCTCTAAAATTTTGTAAAAGGTACCATCCGACAGCTCAAATCCAAAACCATAAATGGGATAAATCTGTTAATTAAAAACATTTAATCCTTTTTTCATAAATAAAAAGATTTTTTTACTTCTTGAGGTCTTCCGCAAAGACGTCCTGTGTCTTGATAAGTGTGGAAAGGCAATTTAGTGCAGCCCAGAAGAGTAAAATCGTATTGAGTGCCATCCGAAAGTTGGAAAGTTGTTCCGTCAACGCACGTCGCCAGGGCCTCAGGGGTGCCTGTCACATTCAGGGTGGCGCCCGGACAGGCAAAGAGAACTTCCTGGCCGACGTCGAAGGACACGACGTCACCAGTCTGAGGCAGGTAGAAACCGAAAATGTCGAGTGAGCCTTGCGGATTGATAACAAGGGCTTGGGGGTCAGGCAGGTGTTGGTTAATCGATATGGCACATCCTAGTGTACGAAAATTTCTATTTGAAGTTTCACACAGTGGCGGTTAAACAAAATTATACCTGCTCTCGGAGCGAGCGAGTTCGCCGCCCCTGCGATTACGACGAGTACGGCGGTAATAATTAATTCCCTCATCTCTCCACCAAGTTCCTTCGCGACCTCAAATTAGACTGCGGTCACGGCAACTTTAAACTCGACCGCGACTTCCTTCGCTTTTATTAGGTACTTGCGACCAAGAAGCGATTAGATAAGATCTGTCCCGTTCGCAGAATTGCTGATTTTGGCGTGCCCGTTCCTTGCAAAGGTTATTTTTTATACATTGAAATTCGATAGCATCAATACAGCTCTGTACGTTTTGCTTTTATCTATCATCCGCAGAGCGTTTGGGTGCATTGATGACAGCAGATAAATTTGTGGCATCAGGCACTATGGTTCAGCGTGCAAAAGATTATTTTTGAGATTATAAAATTCGTAAATCTCAAATTGTTTCTTCGTCCTTGTAAAAATTATTAGTCGAATTCTGAACGCTAATGTAACCTCTTAAAAAATTTACCTAAAAAATCTTTTCCCCCATTTTTTTACTTTAGATTAAGCACAAAACGTAGAGTTTTAATTTGGGTTAATTTAATTTGTTAGGCAGTTTGCCAAAATATATAATACAACGTTTTCATCTTTCTGTCATCACTGATCGCATAGAAGTGTGCGGAAGTGTGTCTTCCAACAAAGCAGCAAGCAAAAGATACAAAATAAATAAACAGTCGTCAGCAAAATATATCAGTGCGATTGTTCAGTGCGCTGCTCGTGTACATAGCAAATACAGGAGAAAAAGGCACGGCGTGTGCAATGTATAATATGGTGTGTGCGATAACATTGAGCCATACAATGAAGTAAAACTCGCTCGATGGGAACGGAATTTGATGAGAATTTCAACAGAAAAGACTTCTAAAAGGATAATATATTTTTTGCGCTTTTAAACATTCATAATATATAGAAATGACACATTTGCAAACTTGGCGAATTTTCATCTTCCAACAAAGGACTCCGCGGCCTGAATTCCGGCGAAGAGATTTATTTATTTCATTACGTGATCTGGAAACACAGACTTTTGGCACAAAATTCGCGTCGTAAATTAAGTTGTTCCACAGACAAAAGCGACGTGCGGGCCGATTGATCCGCTCCCATTGGCGCTCATAAATCGGCGAGATCTGCTCTCTCTCTCGGCGCATATGCAGTGACGAGTGCATCTTGTGAGCAATATGGCTCGAAAACTACCCCCAAGAAGATAAAGATACTCTCTGCGCTCTTTCCAACAACTCGGCTAGCTGCTCTGTACAACGATAAACTTTTAGGTCGATATCTTCTGCATTGGCTCTTGAGAATTGGCAAGGTTTATCAAAGAGTCGCGCGCGGACGAAAGCAGAAAAGAGCCAAAAGCCATATAGCATTGCCTTGCAGCGCTGCTTTTTCTTTCTCGGGTGCGCAATTTAATAATCTTATTTTAATAAAGGCGCAAACACGCGCGATAAAAGTTAATGGACAATGAATGAGTTGGCAAAAGAGAAACGGGGCAGCTCCGTCGCGCGAAAAAAAAGCAGAGAAGGAAAAGAGCTGCAGTAGTGAGCGACAGAAAGCGGCCGGCCTTTTTATATAATTCGTTTTTATGCTATGCGTGTTGTTTTGCTTGGTGGTCTTCGACTCTTTGCCAGAATTGATCCTAAGCTGGCGAAATAAATTATAAATAAAACCGTTTAAGAAATATCTTATTCTAGTTATTCTTATTAAAATTTATAGTGATTAAAATTTTTCAATACTATTTCTTTTCACTCTCCGAGCTGAATCACTCCTAAAAATGATAAATGAAGAATAATTTTGTTTTCGGTTTTGTTTTTTTGTCATACAGTGTTTTTCTTATTTTTTAGGCCTACTTTCCAAGTTGACAAAGTTTAAAATCTCGTTGCCAAAAGTGCCTTGGGAGCGGAAAGTGCGTGCGCATTTATTTGTTTGATGCGAATAAAAATGGAGCAACGGCGTCGTTGCTGGCACTCGGCGCCTCGCTTATAAATAATTCGCCCGATGGGTTTGTCGTTGTTTCGCCTTTTTACGGCCGCCTTGCCTCTGCGCTAATCGCGTATCGTGTCCCTGCTGCACGACTTTACAATATGCGACACACTGGCCTCTTTTAACACAAATGACGCAGGAAACGCTAAATTTTACTTAAATTCAATTTTGTGATATTGGAAATTATACTCACAATTTTTAGTCGTCACCAAGCACAATTTAATATTATGCAACACACAAACGCGAGTATAGTCTATAGGAGAAAAAATGGCTACGTTTTTTAATATGAATAACATTTTCGTTGAAATAAATTTCAAATTTGCCATAAAACACATTAAATATAATCCGAGGGTTTTTGGTACGGTCATGTAATATTTTTCACTCCTGCCTCTCTGACCCGTTTCGCCAAAAGGTTTATGAAAAATTCGTCGTGCCTTGTGGCTCTCTCCCTTTGAGCCGCATTTCATATCTGAGTCTTAAGAGGGTAGTAGTTTTTTCACTATTTATGACGTGGTTAAGGAACATCCCTCGAGCACTGGCCGTGCCCACTTTGCAGTGGCGAGCCCGCATTAAATATTTCAGAAGCGGCTCAGCAGCGACACGAAAAGTTCATTTCCGGACCAGTTCCGTGACAGATTATTTCGCGTGTGCGCCGTCTCGAGAGGGAAATGGAAGCGCCACTACGGCTGGAATTAATTAAAAATTGCCAGTCGGGGCTTTGTTTTTACAGCTTAATTAGAGCCTGAAATTCACAATGAAATATGAGCTTTTAATTCAGCACGCACTACACCAGAAGAAAGTGCGCGCCGGGAAAGGAAGAAAATGAAGAGAGAAAGAGAAAAGCTTTCGCAAAAAGGGGCTCTTCGCTACAATGGGAAGAGCGCGACAGAAAAAGCATCGCGCGCCCGGCCCATGGTACATCTCATTTGCAACAATGGGCGCATAAAATAATAAGAAGCTGCAAAGAATAGAAAGAGAGTGAGAGCGGGCGTTGCGCTAAGTAAAAGGAAGTCTCCACCGGGGTTGACTCGCTTTATTTCCATCCTGTCTTGCGCCTCTGAACATTTACGGAGAACAGATTAGGGGCCTGCATTTACGTAAGCAGGAAAATTTTTGACTAAAACTTAATTTGATTGCATGGTGATACAATGATAAAAAGTATTTAAATCAAATATGAGAGATTAAAAAAATAGTAGCGGCCCAGAATCGAGTTGGCCTCCTAATCCTCCTTACTATTGCGTGCTTGACTTTCAAAATGATAAAACTTAAATAATATAAAAATTCATTTCTTCAAATTATCATATTTCAAATAAAATAGCCAATCAAAGAGTACAATAATGGCAAGTTAAATGAAAGCAAATTTTTGGGAAAATAATTTTTGTAAATTATTACAATCTGTTACATATGCCGACTTATTTTTTATTCTCGCCTGCCTCAACATTTTTGCGTAGAAACGCGTTAAATCAAATAACAACATGTTTTTTTTTCAAACATTTCAACAAAAATTTCCAACTAGGGATGCGAAAATCCTTGTCTGTATAAAGAAAATCTTGACGATTTCTTTAACAAAGAGAGGCTTTTTACACAGCAGGGGCCAAGCCAAAGAAGCGTGTTTTATGTTTTGGAAACAGGAGCAGACAAGCATTTCTCTCACTGTCGCCACTAAGATTAGCTCGCCGTCTGCCTTACTACAAGGAAATGCACGTGAAGCGAATAAATTTTTCTACCTGAGAAAATCGCAGAACACGAAAAATCTCTTCCTCGAAAGACAGGCGGGCAAGGGACGAAATTTTCAATGACCCCCTGACGCGCAGCACCCATGCGAAAGGTGCAGCGCGTCTCTTCTCACCAAAAAGCAGATTTTCCAGGAAAAGAAGAAGAACACCTGAGGAGTGGAGTGCCACCAACTCAATGACCCGGATGATTGGCTTGTGTTGTGAAATAAAATTTAAACCATTTCAAGTTTTAACCATTTGTCGGTTTGACACCAACATCCTTCACTGGCTAAATCTTTTTCTGGCTCAAAGCTTAATTCCAAGTGATCTTAAAGATCTACAGCGTGGAGATTATGATATGTTGTTTCAAAATTTTTTAATTTAAAAAATAATAATAAAAGTATTATTAAATTTTATATTTTTCTCCAAAATAGAAAAGTTATATCAAACAAGAAAATTTAATTGAAACGCTTGTAACGTAATCAAATAAAAATCTTATTCCCTGATATTCGAATAAATTTGAGAATTTCTACTTGCAATTAAAAAAATGTTTTCATTAAGATATTAATATTAGAATTAAATCTTGAAATTCCCAGAAAATCCCCTTCAAGTAGCCCCCCTTTTTCCTTTATGAGGAGTATTATGTAGGCATGTTGATATAGCAAAAGTGAAAGTGCGACAAACTCGGAAGAGTGAAATGAGGGCGAGAGAAATTCGGAAGAGCTTTTCTCTCCCGCCCGTTTCGCGAATCCTCCCTCTATTGGAGAGCACTCATGCGAGAATAAAAGATACGCTCCATAAATATATCTCTCTCTACCAAATAAAAATATAGCCGCCAGCTTTAATCGCGTGTTTGGTAAATAAAAATATTAGCCAGCTTAACACTCGTGCCGTAGTGTGTACGCGCGTGGAGAAATATCCACACGCGCGCGCGTTTTGTGATATTGGAGCAAAAAACCGGCGCTAAAATAACAAATGCTCTCTTTCCGAGCGGCAGAACTGCTCGCACCCTCCACTCTCTAGAAATGCAATATTATTCTGCGTGCTGTTATATTTTCACGCACTCTCTGTCTCTTGTGGAAATATAGAGCAAAATTGGGAGTAGAAGGCGTGAAAGGTGCTGAAATAAAATAATACACTTGCCATAGAAAAGCACCAGGTGTGCTGCTTTCCACTTAATTAACCGACGTCAACTGAAGTTTATGATCTTTGCTCTGAAAATTTATTAATATAATTTTTATCCAGTAAAACTGAAGGCTGTTCGACGTTAAAAAAATTTAGCTATCAATCTATATCTATACTCACGGTACAAGTGGCCCCATTTAAGATTAAAAATTTTGGTAAACGCTGGAGGCACCATAATCAAAGCCACATTACTTGCAAATAATTTAATTGTTGTTGACCCGCTTTCTATTTGCTCGGAACAGCGCTTTGCCTTAATAATGTTGATCTATATTCTGCCCTTGCGAAACTGTTTGCGTTTCTATTGTTTGGTCCATGATCGTTTGCTCAAACCGTGCACAAGTCAACAATGTCTGGTCCACAATATAGACTCAAAATTTGCTATACAAGCCTGGCAGCAAAGAGCGCGGATTTAGAGCTGCAAATGCAAATAGTGATCACGAAATTCCCATATGATGTCTTGGTCAGCAACTGGGAAATTGTTGGAAAAGATCACTGAGACGAGCAATACAATTTTAATGAATTAAAAAAGTATTTTATTTTTTAATATTACTTATTCTATAAATTATTATATAAATTATCACATAATTATATACAATTCTTATATCAAGCACTTTGTGATTTTTCATTTTTTTTTCAATTATGTCATCATTTTTATCGCCTTCAAAAGTTGTTGTAAAGGAAAAAGTCCAGATTATATCATTTGTATACTCTTCAGATTTTTAAGTGTTTTCATTTTACGGTTTTTTTTTGTCGCAAAATTATCAAAAATCTTTGTGTACCGTACACTCAAATACATGCTATCTATCTATTGATTGTGTCCACTGAGATAAAAAAAACAGGAGTGGGTCACACAGAATTGCTCTCATTACATAAAAATGGAATCAAAGGTTTTGGCTGCGTTACTAATTTTTACTATAAATGGAATCTCGGCACAACTCGTAAATCCGCAATGTCTGTTGGACGTGGCGGAAACTTTGAGGCAGGCCTCACAGGAAAGAGCAGAATGGGCACTGCGAATGATTGACGCCACCACAAAATTCCCGGACGGTATCATGGTCGGCAACTTGGACAACATGGGACACTGGGACGAGTGTCTTGAAGCGGACAGTGGGACGGGAATAAGCGGAAAGTATTGCCGCGTTGGAGTTTCTTTCCAAAATCCAGCATCTTCCTCCCTTTTTAACAAGTATAAACATTTTTTTTGTAAAGGGTAAATAAAGATAAAAATGCATTTTTTTCTTTATTTTGCAGCTCCGCATTAAAAAAGTTTCAATCGTTCGGGCAACTAAAAAGTTTACCAGATGGAGTTTCATTTTCCCTGCGTGTTGCTCTGTGCCTGCCTAAATCGTGCGAGCCTGCTGATTTTGAGATTATTTCCTCTCAACTAGTTCCCGTGTTTGATCCAAACACCCAGGTATCCACCTCAGTCAACCCTTCTGAATGTTACACTCTTGAAACCGTGCTGCCCGAGATTGGTGGCGGAACCATTGCTGCGATCGTGGTTTTCTCTCTTTTGATTGGTTAATTAATATTTTTGAAATGTTTATAAATTAAAATATAAAATTTTTTAATTCAAAGGATTGGTATTTGTCGCTACAATTTTGGAGAACTTCAAAAAAGGTGGTCCTATTATCAACGCTCTTAGCGCAAGGACCACTTATTCACAGCTGGTTAGTGTAAAAGAAGGCGCTTTTGATTGCGTGAACGGAATAAAAGTTCTCAGCATGTTGTGGATAATGATGGGCCATAGATATGAGTTGGGTGTCCTCTCGACCCCTACTTCAAATAGGATATCCATGTTTGACGTAAACTGATGTAATAAATAAAATTAAAAAACTGTAAATTCAAAATAATTTCAGCTTACACAAGAGCCGCTTTACATGGCTCTAGGAAACGCATTCTTATCAGTGGACACATTTTTCCTAATAGGTGGATTTCTTCTTGCTTTTGGATTTTTCCGTGACATGAAAAAAGGAAATAAATTTGATGCCATAAAATTTTATGTTTACCGGTATTTACGGTAATTTTTTTTTTTTTAAATGTTGGATGAAGTTCTAAGAAAATTTAATAACATCTTAAGACTTACTGTTCCAATACTTGTGATGATTGTGTTCTACCTCACAATTCTGAGATTCATGGGTGCAGGACCGGTCTGGTACTCTTCAGTAAGTACCAGATTTGTCGGCACCTGCGAAACCCACTGGTGGGCTGCAATTACCTACGTTAACAATTACGTTAGCATTATGTCGGTGAGTTTTTTCTATTAAATATTTAACATTTTTTTTCTTCATAAAAACATACAATTTTTATTGAAGCAATGCGTTGAACAAACTTGGTATACATCTGTGGACATGCAACTAGCCTGGCTGTCTCCGTTGCTTTTGCTCCCAATGCATTTTTCACCAAGGGCCGGAAAACAGCTTGCGTTTATAGTGATTTTAATTTCGTGCGCCATCCCCGCTGTACTCACGTATCTAAATAACTACCCTTGGTCGGTCAACATGGTTAATGCTGAGTAAGGGTGGGGCTATTTATTTCAAAGACAACTTACAAAAAGTTTATAATTTTTTCCAGCTACTATGATGTTCTTGCTTATACAGTGCAAGTTTATTTAGCAACTCATTCACGTGCCTCGCCATACTTGGTTGGAATTGTTCTTGGATACATTATGGTTAACTGCCCAAAAAAGATGTATTTTAACTGGGTATGCTAAAAAAATAATCAATTCTATGGTTTACATCCAATAAAACATTTTGTTGCATTTCAGAAAACAGTCGCTTTGGGATGGTTATTGAGTGCTGGGATTTGTCTGACCGTTGTATTCACGCTCTCGATAACCTACAAATATGGTGATATTATATTATAATGGGGTTTAAATTGTATATCTTAAGGTTTTGCTTGAATGAACAGATTATGTTTACGAGCCGATTGCAGCCACATTTTACGGAGGGCTGCATCGTCTCGCATGGGCTATTGGTCTCTCGTGGGTTATTTTCGCCTGCACCAAAGGAATAGGCGGCCCTGTTAACTCCATTCTATCGTGGCGGTTTTTCAGCATTCTCAGTCCGTTGATTTATGGTGTTTATCTGGTGCATTTCATGGTCATCGGAGTCCAAGTCGGAGCCAAAAAGCAGCCAGACTATGCAAGTCACTATGACGTGGTTAGTCCAGAATTCCGTTAAATTTAATTCGGATATGATATATTAATTAAATAATGTATTTTTTTTTTATTTTAATTATTGCAGATTCATAACTTTTTTGGAGACATTCCATTTTCATTTGCTGGAGGCAGCGTGATTTATTTTGTGGTCGAAGCGCCTCTGATGGTTTTTCTCAGGCAGATATTCAAAAAGCAAAAACCAACAGGTATTTAAATTTTATTATTATTATTTTGTTAAGGAAAATTAAAATACGTTCGAATTTAATTTTGCAGTGAATGGAAAGTCGGCCGAGAAAAAGGAAAAAGTCGAAAACAGAGGCTGAGCTAGCCGAGTCTGTCATAATTTGTAATTAGATTTTAATGCACATCCAGCAAGCCGAAAGAGCTAATAATGAAAATCAACCGTACGGAAATAAAGCGATTACTTCCACTTTCTTAAGCGGCGCTCTTGATTGAACAGTCTAGCTGCGTAATGCGAGTAATAGTGTTTACCCTCTCGCTCGCACTGCACGGGGTGTATTTGCTCTGGCTGATATATTACTCTCATCACAAATCTGCTCTTGTGTATTCAGGAATTGGAAACCGACGCATCGTCTCGTCGTCAAACACGAAAAGATACGTGTCGCTCGGCAAGAGCTTTGACATTTCGGTCCCCGATTTTAATTCCGCCCTACACTTAGTTAGGCTAATGAATTGCAGAGGGTTGCCTAAAATTCAATCAGCTGGTAAGGCAGTGCGCGCGTGTAATTCATCATCGGAGCAAAGGCTTAGTCGCTAAGCCGTGTGTTGAAACAGGGCGCTAACTAAGCTCGCAGAACAACCAGGTGTTTCACGCGCACACGTCTACTCTCGGGGACAACGTTTTGCACCCAGCTTGATACAATTTTGTATATGTATATGCAATGATGCAAAAGAAAATAAGAAAACTTAAAACACATTTAAATAATTTATCAAGTTAATTTAGTTTTTTTTTTAAATAATATAATTATAAAACCATTCAAAGTTTTCAAATTATAATTTTTTTTTTACAACGTTAATATTATTGATTTACATCTAATCTTAATATGTATTTGATTTTTATCTTTATTTTATGCACCATTTTTGAGTAACTTCACTATATTGCTAATTAACATAATTTTTGCTTGAGGGGAAAATAGTTAATGTACTTTGTAAATACAAAATCAATGTTTAAAAGAATTTTGGCTGTTGCTATCACCATTGTATAAATATCTAGTTAACCAATCAAATAATTGATAGTATTATTATATTAATTATATCAATTTTTATAGGAAAAAATAAGTTAAATTATAAATCTTTTAGATTGGTCATTTTAAACAAATTTTCAGTTACTTTTAAACCGTACATACTTGTTAGGATTTCATTAATCACACCATTTTTACAATTTTTCTTTGTATTCGTTTATTATTTATTTTATAGTAAAAAAAATAAGTAAATGCTGCTCAGTCATATTAATTATAATGATGCTTCTCGTTAGAGAATATCCTGTCATCCAGGAAACTCCTTGGGGAATATCGCATCAGCACATTTGACGCAGCGTCGGCTTTGATTAGCGAAGAAAAGGCGAATGCAGCGGACGGGTTGTGCGAGTCTCATGTCAGCACCGAGCTCTAGTTGCGCTTGTTTGCCGTCTCTCCTAACAAAAGCACTGGGAGCATGTCGCCGGGTACAGGCTGCAAGAATCTTGATGCGCAGCTTTTTGTTTGATTCTCAAGCCAATTTAAATAGGGGTGCTCATTAAGGGCGTCGTGCGCGCTTTTTGCCGTTTCTGCTGTGAAACTTCTTAATTACGCTCCTTCTGAAACATGTGTTCAAACATATGCAGCCTCTCACCAGTGATTGTTATAACAATTAAACACAGTCCACCACTTCTTGTTCTCGTTAAGCAGTTTTGAAACTGCGCCTCCGTTTAATGGAAAGACAATATTTGGCGATATGAATATGCAAACAAAGCAGTCGCCTCTTAATTATTGTCAGAGCTTCATTTCTCCTGATTGAAAGTAAGATAGGAAAATCAAACGGAAAAGGAGAACCAACTTGTTTTTATGTAATGTAAAAGCACACAAACTTTTATAATATTATTTCATGCCGTATATAAAGTGCTGCTTTGTTACATAATATTTCTTTATCATTTCTAACGTTGATCATAATAATTTATTTTAATGCGTTGCAATGTTTTTAACTTTTTCATTTGCAAGTCACATTCGAATTACTTCTGAATGTTTTATTTTTTATATACACTTTAAATACAGGATTTAATTCATCAAATTTTTACCAGTTTGAAGCTCTGATTCCATGACGTCCTCATTAGAACTAAATTTTGAAAAATAGAATGAGCTCCAGGACAATGTGCTTAAGTGTGCAAAATTAAAATAAAAACAAAATGAAGTTTAAAGGTTTAATTTTTATTTCAATTTTAGAAAAATGGTTTGCATGCCCTAATAGAAAAATTGAATTTAAAGAATTATTTTTAGTTAACCGTCAATTTTGAGCCTTTTTTGTCGCTCTCATCCACAAATTTCTGACAAAATTTGATTGTCGGCTTTAATTAAGGGTTTCCAAAATGAAACGGTACAAAGTATTCATGGCCTTGCTGCTAATGATATTGCGAAAGAATTAAACATCAGTTTGGGAGAGCCAATTTCGTTTAATTGCAATTCCTGTGTTATTGTTATTTGCGTGGGTGCGCACGACCAATGGTCACTTTTTCGCGCGATAGAGGCATAGTGGAAAATTCGTCGCACGTTATTGCAGAGTTAAAACGAGCGAGAATAAAACGGAGCGAGAGAGGGACGCGCACCGACGGGCCGACAATGCAAATTACTCTGGCAGAAATGGATAATGCAGAGCGGCTTTTGCATCAGCGCGGCCGCAGCATTATGGAATATTAAATTTTGTCCGGCGCGTTTAATTTCGACTTTCGCGGCGCCGACCGACCGACCAAACACTCGCATACAGAGAGAGACAATTTGCGGCCCGCGGCTGTTTTTATCGAATGTGGTGCCGCATATGTGACTTTTTTGTTCCGTTGCAGCAGATGGCGCGATGCAGCCAGACGAAAATTTATATTTTGGATCGAAAGCTCAATTTCAATTTCATTCCCTCTCGTTTGTATTTTGCCCGCCGGTTGAATTGATTTAAAATGAATTTATGTATAAAAAGCTATCCGAATGAAAAGTAGTGACATAAATTTAGCTTTTTGGGAAATTGGCTGTTTCCTAAAAAATAAATTTCACAGCTCGACGGGTGAAATTCTGAATTTATGGTGGTGGTAACAAATGCATTTAGCAGCGACGCGGTTGTTTGGCCGCCCGCGTTATTTCAGGGCAGGCTGGCTGACGGTTGTCATACCTCCGTCTGTGCCGAGCATTATTTACGACCGTGCGCAACTATGCGTGTAATTTGACCAGGAGTGTGTTAATTATGAATATCTGTCAATTAACTACATACCGTGTGCCGGTGACACTCATAAAATTAATGAGGATGAATGATGAAATTAATTTTGGAACAACCCATTGCTCCGCACTGCCCGTATATAGATATAAATGGATGGTGACCGCAAACTCGCTGCATTTACTTGCGTACCTGGACCATCAAGTAGTAAAAAGCATATTTTAGTGACATATTTGCAAATATCTATATGGAATGATTTAAAATCACAAGGGGAAATTAAACCTAGATTTAAATATTCAAGGCTATGCAGTTGGGGAAGGGAATATTTTTTGTTCATTAGATTTAAATATTTAAAATACACAATTAAAATTATTTTTATCATTAAAATACTTTTTACTATAAAAATAAAAAAAAATTAGATATATAAAAATTTTTAAATTATAAAATTTACATAATATATTTTTAAAAAAATTGAGGGTTGTTATTCAATTTAAACAATTTTTACAAGGAAAAGGCCCAATCTCTTCACTTCCAAGATTATCAATTCCTTCAAACAAATATTAATTACATTTAATTTACTGTAACTTTTTGTATAGCAAGTCGGTAGCATAAGTTGAATTGTTTATTAGCAAGTTTCATGCAACAGTTGAACAGTAACAGATAAATACTGACTTGAATTATGCATCACTTCCTGAGAGAATTCAATTAAGAAAAACCTTCATATAGCTTTATTTTCTTTATTTTGTGAGCGACAGAGTCACTTTGTAGAAGCTCCAAGTGTTTCTAATTGTGTTTGCAGCACACCCGTGCGCCTTCCCGTCTTTGAAATCGCACTGAGAGCTAGTATGCACGCGCAATTATTCAGCGCAAATAGGGCTGAGCGCCGTCATAAATAAAAGATGCAGCCCAATGATTGCCTTCGCCGGGTACTTGGGGAGTGAGGGCGGAAGTCTCTTTTCCTCTTCTTATGCTAGGCAAACAGCACAAACCATATAGCTCCTGAGTAGCAGCCCGGCGTATTATTCTTGTGTGTATCTCTCTCTCTTTCTCGCTGGTGCACTGCCAAAGCAAACACAATGCGGCCGGTCTATTCAGCGACTTTCGCCCCCCAGGCAGCTCAAATATTAGCCCTATTCGATTAAAATGGAAACAATTGCCCTCTGCTGCTTTTTGTCAGTTTGACGAAACGGTTTTAGCGGCGCAGATTTGGCAGGTTTCCTCCGCAGTGACAGGGAAACGCCGCACCATATTTGCCCAACCCTCAAATGAAAAATGAATTCTGATTCTTTCAAGAACCCTTATGATTATAATTCATTTTTCCTTGTTAAATCAAATCCACTGAACTGGCAAAAAGTGGGAAAAAAATTTACTGCTCCCTGTATAATAAACTTTTTTACTAACTTTTTATGGATTCAATAATTAATACACTCAGTGCATGTAATCGATTTTATCATAAAAAAATTTATCTTCATAAAAATTTTATCAATTAATATTTTTTATTATCTGACATTGAAGGCAGAATAAATGAAAACTTTTATAACTTTTATTTATACGTCCCAATTCTTTTTGCTTAGAGGAAGAGACAAATTGCAAAGTTTGAAGAATTTGCACCTGCCTGGGACCTTGGTCTGAATAAGTGACATTTTTTTCTTCTCAAGTTTCGCTCTACCAGTCGGTCTCTGGGTTGCGGCACAGTGGGTGAGGCGAGAGAAATTGAGCTGTTGTGAAGGAAGGGAAAGTTTCGCCTCCATGCGCGTCGCAACTTGTGTTCGCAGACTTTTTATCCGCATCAAAGTGACATCTTTACTAGTTAACAAGTTGATGAATGGAATTTTAAGTGCGGCGAAGTCTGCCCTATTAAATATACATCCGTCAGGAGAGGCCCCGGGGCGGGCGCTTTGTGCGCCCGCTCGCGCACACGGCCATGAAAATTTCACTCGTGTTTGACTTGGCGGAAAGCGGCGGGAGGAAAAAACTAATTAGCGTACTGATCCGAGTGGAGAAGATCCATTCAATTTCGACGCGGCGTTTATGAATATTTGATATTCAGTCGGAGAAATTAATGCCCCATTCAGAACCGCAGACTGACTGCCGAGTAGCGCTTTTTGAAAAGAAGGTTTTGCTTCGTCGGGGCTGTTTGGCAAAATAGCCAAGTTTTAAACACCCGGGCTTGCGAAAAAAGTCGTTCCCTCTCGGCCAGTCTGCGGTGGCTTAAAGTCAACGGCGGAGTTTCGCCAAAAGTTTCGCAGGCTCAGCAGTCAGTCAGTGCCGTGGCGCATTCAGAAAGAGAGCCGGAACGATCTAAAACAATGAGCAGTTGATAATGAAAGGACCTGAAAGAGCCTGGCTTTGCTGGAATGGACACGGGGATGAAGACCGGCCGGATTATGTGGGCGCACGGAGGCTTAAATCACTTTCCAACACGCCTCGCTGTGATTTAAAACGCCTTTGTTCCTTTCGCTGGGCGTTCTGCTTTGATTAACCGGCCCCAAAGTGAATTCTTCAAGGATAAAGAGGTTAGAAACATATAGTAAAAAATAAAAGCTTGATCTCTATTGATAGTTTCCATTAAGTTAATTGTGTATAGAGTGTAATATTTTGTGTGTGTTTTTAAATAAAATATTGAGAGTTTAAAATATAAATAAAATATGTATGTAAATCAATTACATATTTTTAACTGAACCTTGGCATGGAAAAATGGCAAAGATTATGCCAAAGTTTGAAATTTTATTTATCAAATGAAAAAGAAAAAAAAACAAAAAATAATTTGTAGATACATAAGTTTCTGTTTTTCTTCTATTAATAACAATATTTTTTATTCAAAATTTTTTTATTTACAATCCTTATAGATTTCATATTTAACTTGTGAAAAAAGGGTTTCTCAAACCGTTTTTCCGCTTTTCCGAGTCGCGCCTCTTGATCCTCCTGCAAGCAAAAGCCAAGAAGCAAGCATGAATTCGCGCATTAAACAAGGCAGTTATGCAACTCCGCTCTGCAGTGCCGTTGAGCGGATTGCATAAACTGGAGCATGCCAGGCTGGGTTGTTTTTGTTGCGCTGCTGCACTACAGCTCTGAAGGAAGAGCATGTAGTTCAGACTAGCGATGTTTGTTTGCCGCGCGCACATACGTCAAAGTTTTGCTTATACCTTTCAATAAGAATCGCAGCAGCACCATCACGGGTGCTTCGACCAGATAGTAAAGGATGCACGAGGCGGCCCAGATGAAAGGAAGGTCGGCGAAGAAGGCGTGCACCTGCAGGAAAGTTTATTTTGATTGCAACGTACATACTCGAGGAAGGGAAATTTTCTTTGGCATGAAAAGCAGTCTTCGACTTTTACCGTGTCGTAATGCGAAACGTAATTCGGCACTTTTTTGCTGCCAGCCTGTACCCCCATCACGACCAAGTGGGTCAAGTAGGCCGCATATGTCAAAGTGCTGAGAGGCCCGAAGTGTTTCCACGACAGAATCGAGTTGACCGGTCCACCCAGTCCGTTAGAACAGGCAAAAACGATCCAGGCGAGCCCCAAAGACCATCCTAATTTGTGCAGACCGGCGTAAAAACCGGCGGCGATCGGGTCGGGAACGTAATCTGACAAAGGGGATTGTTTTTAGTTAAGAAGGGGCAAAACTAGCCAAGTGGAGGATCAAACCTTCTCTGAATGATATTACCACTGTGAATAGCACGGCCAGACATACGGCAGTGCTCAGTGTCCAACCTAGCATAACTATCTTCTACAAGGAAAATCAGTGGGTTATAATTAACACTACTTACTGTGAACTACAAAATAGATTTCAAAAATATCATAAAGGAATTAAAACTATTTTTTTAAGCTGATTAAATTAAAGCTTAATGTGATTATAATTAAAAGCTGATGACAATGAAATAATTAAAGCCCTATTGACATATTTTTGTTTGAAAGAACTTAATTTTTAACATCATTGTTACCTTTCCAATTTTTAGTGATTTTGCATTATTGCTTTGCATAAAATACGCCAAAAGTATTCCAACAATGTATGGTGTGAGTCTGGCGTGGGTTGGGTTATAAATATCCGCAAGCCAGCGATAAACGTCAAAGTAGGTGTTTATGATGTCGGCTGACCACGGGTAATTATTGAGGTAGGTGACCACGCCGGGCAGGGCACAAGAAAAAACCAAAAGCAGAGAGGCCAGCTGGAGCCCAGCTTTTGGTGAATGAGCGAGAGGCAGCAGAAGCATCGGAGATAACCAAGCGACTTGCATGTCCACTGAAGTGTACCACGACTGCTCCAGACATTGCTTAAAATAATATTATTAAAATTAATTTTTATTTGTTTTGAAAATTTGTATACGTGAAAGGACTATAATTGTAAGAAACGTTTATGTATAAAAATTGCAATAAGTTAGATTATTGATTTTATTAAATAATTGAAAATTCAATTAGAGCAAATCTCAAAGCGCTTTAAAATCTAGAAAATAAGCTTTAAAATTAAGTGAAGCAGCCGCCTCAACACATGATTTGACGCAACGCAAGCTGAGTTTTTTTGCTTCGCTTTTCCGCAGATTTTTGATTTTATTAAAAATTGAGAATTCAGTCAGAGCATAGCTCAAAGCGCTTTAAAATCTAGAAAATAAGCTTTAAAATGAAGTGAAGCAGCCGCCTCAACTCATGATTTGACGCAACGCAAGTTGAGTTTTTTTGTTTTGCACTTTTTTTCCGCAGCTCCTTGATTTTATTTAAAATTGAGTAATTTAACTCCCATTAATTTTAAATTATGAGTGCTCACTCTATCAATTCCGATATAATTGTTCACATAGGCCACCACTTGCCACCAATTCTCTTGGCAGGTCCCAATGAACCTTTGACCAATTAACAAGAACCAGATGGGGCCGTTTCCAAAGTGATTGAGCACGGTCAGGTAAAAGGCAACCATGATGGCCAAAGGCACTGTCAGCCTGAAAAATAATGAGATCAGTGCTTTTTATATCCTTTGATTTTGTCTCTGGAGATCCATGAAAGGCAGCTGGATTTATTTATTTATAAACTCGGCGTCACCTAAGGTAGCGATAAACGTAGAACTTGACGGCATCAAAGGGCTGCTGGTCGGAAGATCTGAAGAAGCTGCGCGCCAGCAAAAAACCTCCGATGAAGAAAAAAGAGTCCACCGCCATGTAGGCATTTGCGACTATCATAAAGGCAGTTTGTCTTAGATACTGGAAAAGGTTTAATGATAATTTCAGTGTAATATCAACCTCATCAATTATCGTCTTACTGGAAAGACTTGTACAGGATTAGAGGCGCCCACTATTATCATTGATTCGTATTTGTGTCCCAGCGCGACCCACAGCATGCTGAGAACTTTAAGTCCATTTAAGCAACCAAGTGACCCTTCTCTGCCGCTTAATAGTTGCCGGGTCGTGGCCACCGCACTCAAAGATTTAATCAGTCCGTTTCCCTGGCCGCAAAGATCAAGCACTGTTGCTCCTACCACCGAAACTGTTGCGATTTTTTTTTAATTAATATTATCAGAAAAAAAGGGGAACCATAGACATGCCAAGTATAATTGCCGACACGGCTAAAAACACGATGGATCCCGTCTCCAGCGGTGGCGTCGCCGTTTCCAAAGAAAAACATTCCTCTTTGCGGACTGACGCAAGAACCGGCACGTCCGGTGTTAGCAAAAGGAAGAGTCCCGACACAAGGACAGAAACGTCAAAAGGTTTGCAACTCGCCGGCACGCAAACTGACGCTCGCAAAGCGATTGTCGTGTCTGATGTGGCCACTCTTCCTTGTAACTTTGGGATTTGCGCCAGCTCACTTGAAAAAATAGTAATAAAAATTATAAAAATTAGGCTTGAGGTGGGTTTTGCTTTCAATAAAAAAATTCACCTATAATTTTGACCAATATTTAGGATATTATTTAGTTTTTTTTGTAAGTAACTTTATTTATTGATCGATAGTAAATATTTAAGAAAAGTACCTGCTCACAGATGTTTGATTGAACAGAGCAGTCTGATTTACCAGACCAACAAGCGTCACTCTGCAGTATTGACCTTTAATCGAGGCGTCGTCGCTGCTCACAGATAAGCACTCGTCCCAGTGGCCCATTTGGTCCCAGTTTCCATATGCGATGCCGTCCGGATATTTCGTTGTTGCGTCAATCATCTTCAGTGCCCAGGTTGATCTTTCAACCAGGGCCGCTTGAAGGGTTCGAATCACATCTTCGGCGCATTGCAGGTTGATTTCCTGGGTCGAAAATGGAGGAATCAAAGTTGAAATTAAGAAGAGTAGGAAAATTAACATGTTTTAACTTGGGGAATTCTGAGCCGATTAATTATGCAAGGCTCTTATCATCTATTTAAACGATCTTGTCAATCTTACTAGTTTTGATTGATAAAAATTTTTGCTGATAAAAATGGGATCCTAGCTAATAATGTGAGATAATACTGAATAATTTTTTTTCTCCAATTTAAACTTTTGCATAGACCGAGAAAAATAAATAATAATGTAATAATAATAATAGCTAATTTTTATTTGAAATAATTTGTGTTAGGTTTTTTTAGTTACAGAATTCCAGTATTATAATTTTTTTTTCATTTTAAATAAAAAATATTTTAATTTTGCAGTGCTCATAATAAGAAAATACTACTTCAAATACAGAGTATTAGTCATATCAAAGTGTTTAATGCATGCAGGTGGTATGGACGCAACTTGTAATTTGATTTATTGGTAAATGTAGCGTGCGGCAACAACGCCGAGTGATGTGACATGTCGATATAAATGTAAGTGCATTACTCTGTATGATGCATGTTCCAGCAAAGCCTTGATGACCAACACAGGGCCATGCGTGCCTCTCTCACTCGCAGGACGCGAATGTTATTACATGAACCTGTTTTATGCAAATCAGTTTGACAAGCAACGCACACCAGGATGCTCAACCTTTTTAGCGCTCAAAGCGGACATGCTTTTAATTAAAGCGCACACCCGAAAAATACAGAAAAATAATTAATAAAAGTAGTATGTACTTTGCAGCGCCTGCACTTAAAAAGTTACAAAATTTTATTTCAATTAGAGCATTTTAAAATTTAATTTAAATGAAGTAAATCTTAAATAAAAATAGTTAAATTTAAATCTTAATGAGTAAATATTATTTCAAATTTCAATATCTTCGCTTAAGTTAAAAAATGCTTATATTGTCTTTTTCATCTCTGCTAGGACCATTATTTCAGCATTAATCAACAAAATGAGTGAATGGAAATTCGTGAAAAAATTATCCAGCAGACAAAGCAATCAATCCACAAACTGATTGTCCAGATGAGCGAGTGCAAACATTTCGCAGATTGATTGCGACCGGTCTGTCGGTCTCTCGCGGGTCGTCGGGTGAATGACAGTCCAGGCACGAGATGCAAATCAATCGATCAACGTGCAATTACTGGACACCAGACGGCCAGAGCTGCACATGATTGGCTTCGTGCTCTTGCTGGCTGCGTTATTTGAATGGATTTACATACGAACGCTATCCGCACGGATCCAATAATGTAGATGGAATGGTCAGTGCTTTTCTATTTAAATGTATTTCTCGCTTTTTTTATGTTAATGCGAGATGTCTCGCTTCTCTCCCGTTTTGGCTCTCTCATGTGCCTTTATGAATTTTTCAGAACCTTTTTTGGCATGCAGATGAGCTGCGAGGAAGAACGTGTCTAATTTATTGCTTCCTTTGAAGTTTTGTGCAAAAAGTCCGACTTATGATCATTTTTGATGAGCAAAGGGCCTCATTTGAATTTTTCAATTAAAAAGTTACATTTTGGCTGAATTTAAATTAGCTGGAAATGGAAATTTCTAAAAGGATTCATTCCGAGCAAAATTGTTTTTAATCAAATTAAACGGCTGTGATTTTATCAACACAAGCAGGCTATTAGGGAAATGGACAGAGCAGAATAATTCTCCCTAGAGTGGTGGAGAGGATGAATGGGTGAAAAAAGAATTGCATCTGCCGCTTGCTGTACCATTTCACCCCCGGTCTCATTATTGCTTATCTCGACCTAAATCTTGCGCCTCCCCTTTTAATAATATGTCAAGAGGAGGCTGCTGGACACTCAAGTTCGTGGAGATTTCTTCTTTTCTCATGCGTCTGGCAAACGGCAAATAAATCGAGTCGGCTGCAGATTAAATACCGGGAAATGCAATCTGCGGGACGATATAAACGACCCTCTAGAATGCACTACTCCTGGATTGATAAATAAAGGCATAAATTTAGTTTTCCTCCTCGTGCTTCTGCGTTGCATAGAGAGGATATCTTGAAATTAATTAGAGGAAAAAGCGCGCACTTATCCGTTCGATTTTCACTATTTATTGCACGACGGGAGATCCAGTGAGGTCGTCGGCACGGAAAATTGATTCCAGGGCAAGAAATAAAAGCAATTTCTGAGTTTTCAATCAGCCGGCGCGGCACTTACGAGATTGAAATCCCCGTCACGAGACCGCAGATTTCGATTGCTGGCTCCGGAAAATCATCGGAGCGTGCGAATCTGATCAATTATGCAGCCGGGAATAGAGAGTATATATTCAGAATAATTGATTGCGATGATGTCACCCCGTAACGAAGTTGTTGTTTTCATTAGGAATCAAAGGCGAGAGCCCCGTTATTTTATTTATGGTAATGAAACATCACGGCTGCTAATGCATGACTCAATCGAGCCATGCAGAGACGACATCCTAACCTCATTTGCAACCCCTCTCTGCTCCGCGGGACCCCCAAAGGCACGCGCGAAGAGAGACGCCAAAACTACATAGGGGATGCTTCCCTTCTTTCTATCCGTGGGGGTGCGTCGCGTAATGCGGAATGACACACATATCGCGAAACGCAAATAAATAAACAAACTCACACGCACTTACTTTGAGAGAGAGAGAGAGCAGTCGACCTTGCCAAAATACGAGAGGGCTGCGGGCGTTTGGAGCTTCAACTTCAAAGCAACGCAGGAAATTGATATTTTAATCGCTCAGATGTCGCAAGGACTGGAAAGGACGAATCGGAAATTTAAAATTTGGCGTTGTTACTCATCTGAATTCGATTGATCAAATTTATCTACAAATCAGACAGTCAAGCGTTGTTTGAAATCTGAAAATTTCAGATTTTCATTAACTCTTTGGAACTCGTTAAGATATTTTACAGATATTTTAATTTTTAGAATAAAATTATATGCGACGATAACATTTTCATTTTTAATACCAAAATCTAAATAAAAAGATGTTCATTCATTTATATTATTTATGTATATCAAAATTTAAAAAAAAAATCAGATCAATAAACTTTTACAGTTAAAGTATAGAAGCTGACACAACAATATTTGGCATCGGCAGTCTTTGTTTTAAACTTTTTATGCTAATTGAAATTTAAAAAAAATTCTGCTCTATTTGCAGTTGTTTTGGCTCTCCATTCTCATTTTCTCAAGAAATTTATTTTACGAGACATTTGAGTTTTATTTGAGAAAGCATAGTTTTTATGTTCTTATATGACACAAAAATTTATTTAATCATTAAATTTGGCAAGAACGCCTCCGCTCATTATTGTTTGTGGTGAAACAATAAAAGGGCCCATAACTTTTAGTAGCTGCGTAACATTCTTGCTGCAACATCATACCATATTTGCCGGGGCTGGTCCAAACGCGGCAATAAAATGAAGAGAGAGAGAGAGAGAGTCTCTGCCGAGACGATGTTGAACAGGGGCATCGCGCAAGAAAAGCATTTTTCATATTTTTCTTGGCATTAACAGAGGGTGCGCGCTTTTTCCCCTGCAGAGTGGTCATTAAGAATTACTTATTAGAGCGGCGAAAAGGAGCAAAAAACGGCGGCGCCCACTTTGTTGTTCCGAGCGCACAGAAAATGCCCTTGCTTGGAGATTAATGTTTCTCTTCTGTAGTAAGAACATTTACAGGCTATAAAAAAAGGATCAACGTCAATCAATTGTCTTACGCGCTGCTCTTCAGGTGTCGTAATCGCCAAATTGGCAGGAAAATCAGATGGTGCCAAAAATCTTGCGGTATTAATTGGCTTCAAAATTTTTTTTTTATCATATGCATGATGATTATATACTGTTTAGTCAAATTAAGTTTCTTAAAGGAGCGTCTTCTAATTTAGGTTTATTCTTACTTAGAACCAATTTTTTAATAATTAATTAATTTTTAGTATTTTGAATAGCAAAATTTAAATCGGATGCTTGCCCTTTTTTAGCGTTGCGTTAGGAATGATTAAAAACTTTCTTTTTTTATCTCATGCTGCTCACATAGCATTATTAATGAAATAAAAATAGCGCTCTGAAATTCATTAATGAGCTTTATATTATAATATCTTGAGAGGAGATTGTAATAATTTAATTCATTCTTTGCAATATATTATTTTTATACATTTTTTTTAACTTTTTCAAAAAATGTGACTGCAAATTTCCTTACATAAGTTTATAACCAAAATAGAGATGATCGTAGATTGTTTTTCTGTAATTTATGAAGTTGCAGGCCATCAGTTTTAAAGTTCTACCAAATAAGCATTTCATGCAAAGGGGAGGATGAATTCTTATATTTATAATAAAGAGTAATAAATATTTTCGTTAATATTGTAAATTAAATCCGCACATTGACAAGATGTAAGATATTTAATTTCAAATCAGAGCCGGCAGAGCTTTGTGTGGAAGTTTAACGTCACTAAAGTGCAAAATCGGCCCAAAGTGGCAATATGCACGGTCATGTGCGAGTTATAATTGTGCGGCGCTCGAATCTCTGCGCGAGCCATCCTAGTCGGGGTGCGGTTTTACTTGCCGCGTTCAAATTGCACAAACTAGGCAGTTGTTCGCAGTAGTTACGAGTTGATGGCCTAGTGCCAGAACAGAGCCTCTCTCGTCGCGCTGTGTGAGTGTGTCTATGTAATTCCGTCGCCATACGAAACAACGGGGGCGGTGCGGAGGCGGGTTGGGTGGAGGCAGGCAATACTATACACATACATACAGGGTGGTTCTCGGGCACTCGCAGGGGCTGCCAGACACGGCTTTAATTATGTTCAGCAGAGATGAAACATTCCTCCGCGAGGGAGATCGATCACGACGAGTGTCTCAAAACGGGTGTCTGCAGCGCTATAAATTGCGCTTTGGTTTCTTAGGATTTATTCAGCATGCAAGGTGTGCAAATAATTGTTAACACAAAAATATTTTATATGAATAATTAAATATTATAAAAATTAACGTTAAAAACCTGTTATTAATTTTTTTAGTTTATGATTTAATTTTTAATATTTTATATGTATTTTGTATGTTAAATTTTTAAAATATAAT